CTCGGACTGCACGGAGGCCGGGGACGCGTGCCGCGGCCGCGTCTGTACCGACCGCACCTCAGTCACCTGCCGCGACATAGCCCGCTGGCTCGGCGCCGGCCGACACCCGTTCGGCGACCACGACGTTCGCATGTTCGGCTGGCTCGGCGGCCGCGAGACGCCGCTCGAGTGCGACGTGGTGAACGGCGTGTCCGGCTTCACTGAGCTGCTGTCGGCGCGCGCCGGCGTGCGGCTGAACAGCACCACCATCCTGGAGCTGAACCGGCGCCTGGAGCCGGACGTGCGCGCCCACTCCATCCTCGGCATGGCGGAGGCCATCAGCCGACTCGGCGCCGGGCCCGCCTACCAGCTCGCCGTCTCGGTGGACGGCAGGTGGGCCACTGACGGACAGCAGGGTCGGGTGCCGCGCAACCACACCATCACCGTCGATACCATCGGCGGCACGATCCAGGTGTCGTTCCGGGACGAGCGGAACGCCGTGACGAGGGTGAAGCTGCCCTCCGACGACGCGGCCGGCGCCGGCTATGTGGCCCAGCTGGAGCAGGAGGGCAGCGAGACACGGGTTGCCTACGACTGGATCGAGATCTACATTCGGGAGTGACCGTACACACAACTGAGATGAACACATCAGCAGCAATGACCTGGGTTTAACCACGCCCACCCAGAATAAGACACATTGCATACTTCAGCCGTGCTAGATGTGCTGTGTTCTCTGTTCTGCCCGCTCATCTCTTTCTCTTCCTTCTTCTTTCTTCGTACTCGTAGCGCATTCATGAGTCAGCTGAATTTTCTATTCTTTCCACAAAGTCAACTAAATGGACAGTCTGGGCTGGCAGACCCATCCTCTACGCCGATTCAGCAGACACCTCGTGCAGAGATAGTTTTGGACTTCACTCTTTCTCGAAATAATAGTAAGCTGCTGCTTTGTTGCTATAGTAGGTATAGAAGTGGCCATTGAGGAGTAGGCCGGGATTACGATGATTTGTCTACGGATACATGACCAGCATCATGCATGTTTATTTTCCCGAATATGTTTATCGTCGTTCTTACACCGTGTCATGGGCATGGCTGTGCGCTTCACAACCTAAAAGCTAAACACACTACTAATTTATATAGCAAGCGACTTGCTAAGGCCAGTTTTTTTTTTTGCGTAGCTATCAGTGCTATACAATACTGCGATGTCCTATTTACAAATACATATCGCTTAAATATATTTCCCCAAATATCCTTTCGGGTCGAAAGGCTATGGAGTCCAACGCCCCCCCCCCCTACACACACACACACACACATACAGGGACACTAAGTGTCCCTGCATACTTCAATACCTACTGTCAGTATCTAGCAATATTAGCAATATTGTCAATAAATACAATTGGTCGGGTAATGCTTTTCTACAGGGTGTCTCAAAAGTTCCTTGACACATTTCCAATGCCAATAAAGCATATAAGATCCGACCAAAAATCTAAGGTTTTGGTGTCTGTGTGTACACTACACAAATATGCATGCTTTGACAACTGATTCGGAAGGTTGGAAACCAAACCCTTTGCTGCATATCCAAAAACATTTGCCCATACCTATATTCGTCGCTCCGTCAGCTGCCAGAGGCTGATAAAAGGTTACCAGCTTTCAAGCTCTTGTAGGGGAATCCCCTGCAGTTTCTGCGTCGGATTTAGGTTTGACGAGCTTCCTGGCAACATCCGCTTCTCCCTGAAAGCCGACAGCTTGCATCGACACCATCCGTGAGTATTTTGTAGGTCCTCTCTGGCGCTAACTCTTTCATGAATGACTGGCGCCGACCTCCCAAGCACCATTTTTCTTTTCAAAACAACCCCATTCCTGAACAAATGGGAAGTGCCAGTGGCAATTTTTTCGCAACATATCGTAGCAAAATGTGTCGGCCATCTGTTTCTTAGACACATTTTTGAAAATTTTGCAAATCCCAAACGCTCGTCATTCCCCATGCCAAGACCTTCGCTGGGTTCCGGAGTGTTTTCCTCAGGAGAGGTTCTGCTTTGTAAACGGCCAAAACATGTCCATTGTCCATCGTGCGGTTTTGTCCGGATTTTGTGTGTACCTGTTACAGTGTGTCCGCGAAATCCGTGAGTTCGCAAATTCACTGGTTGATCCTAGGGACTCCGCGGAGTCACGTAAACTCTCGTGAATCCGCGGAATCACTGCCGTGGCTTCGCGGATTTACTAGAGTTTTCAGTGCATCCGTGAAGTCACTGAAGAGTCGCGGGGATCTGCGAACTTCCTAGTTAGTCCGCGGACTAGCGATTCTTTTTCAGTGAATCCGCGAAATACCGATTCTTTTCAGTCATATACGAGTTAACATGATTGGAGCGGACTTCAGCCGTCTTTAGTACTATTCAAGAGGGCTGCGTCTGTCCGTTACCGAGGTCCCGGGCCGATGCGGTGAATATACAGTATACACACGGCACATACCTCATGTCGGATGGACCCCCATGGTTTTTCGCTAATTTCTCGCTAAAAAAGCAGCTGATCACGACGAAATTTTCGGTACCCTCGAGTTCATCAATTTTACACCTAGCCTAAAATTTTCATGACCCTGACTCAACTAACCTTTTGTCCTGTGACCTATTTCTTGAGACAATGTTTGGGCAGAATCGCGAATCGGCGTACGTCAGCTTACATTATCCGCACGTTTTTAGTCTTTTTGTGGCTTTAAACGTTCAAACATGTATAATGATGTTGATGCAATGCATTATGGTGGACGACAAGGTCACGTTGAGGTCAGTTCAAGGTAAATGACCATTGATGACCTTGGTTCACTTTTTGAGTTTTATTTGTTTCTAGAGTGGTTTTTGGAGCTGATTTCGAATTTAACAGCTATTTGAAAATTTACGAAGTAGTTTTGGCGCCTTCGTAACATTCTTCAAAGCTGTCAATGGTAGTCGACACCTACTATGAATAGCAAGCAGGACGCCTATTGGTTGACATGACCTAACCTAACCCGACCTGGGCCCTGTTCGGGCAGCGCATCCTACTGCAAAATTTTGCACCACGCATGCGCAGTTAGGGTCTCTCGGGTGCCAAGCTCCGCCCTTCGGCGTATGACGTCACACGTGTGACGTAGGCTCGCGCAAAATCTTTCAGTTTTGCGCAAGAAGAAAATAGTAGCTGCAGGAGGCGAAAGTGGCGCGGATTAAAGTTTACCCTCATATATTTCTTATTGTAAGTGGTTAGTATGGTGTTATTTTGGTATCATTATCTTCCTTTTCAGTGGCACATTGCTATTAACCACATTTGAACGCATTTTACTCAGTAATTGAACGAAACACACCAGTCCATCCGCGCCACGGTTCGCCGCGTCTCGCGTGGCCCTCGGCTTTGCGGGCCGGCGGAGAGGGGGCGGAGCATGGGCGGAGCCAGGCGGCTGACATCATCGCATGTGTGACTTCACACTCAGCAAAATATTTTGCGCGGACCCGAACAGGGCTCTGGCATATCTGCATGAAGCGATCGTCTGTGATAAAAACTAACATGAAATTCGTGATCAGCACCCCGAAATACCCTGTAACATCCTCACTTTACGGAGTTCTAAGAGAGCCCGATTTTCCCAACTTTTTAAGTCATTGACCTGACTTGGAAAGTCAAATGATGACCTTAGACTTTTGCGAAATTGCGAAATTGGCGCAATTGCGAGGTCGAGGTCCACTCAGATAGTTACATAACTATTTACAGCAAATTCCCACGTTTAAGTGGAATAGTGCTGCGCGCAGGTTATTTTTTTATAATCTAAGAAAATAGTACCTATTTACAAAAAAAGTTAGGGTACCTACGTAACAATGTAACATAAAACTTACCAAACGTCCCGACATTTTTATTCTGATAGACTGATTGTACCTAATTGACATGCCGGCCAAAGCACAACACGACCACCATATCGGCAACATGATTCGGTTCCAAATTCCAATTGTCTTTGAGCCTCTACGAATAATCGGCATTAGCTCTAAATAACGTTTTTTGGACATTCTCCGAAAAAAGAATCGGTATTCCGCGGATTCACTGAAAAAGAATCGCTATTCCGCGCATTACCTAGGAAGTTCGCAGATCCCCGCGACTCTTCAGTGACTTCACGAACGCACTGGAAACTCTAGTAAATCCGCGGAGCCACGGCAGTGATTCCGCGGATTCACGGGAGTTTATGTGAGTTCGATGAGTCCCTAGGGATTTCGCGGATTAACTAGTTACTTCGCAAACTCACGAATTTCGCGGACGCACTGTAACATACCTAAAAGAAAGCTATTAGCTCCAGATCTGCCTCTTCGAACTTCGTAAGATAAAACGTTACATTAATTGACACTTTTGGAGGGTCACTTGTCTTCGGCATTGACGATTTTCGTGTTATTTTCCCAAAAAATAGCGTTAAAGAATAAATATATTATAAACAATTTTGAATAATAGTTTGTCTTTATTTTATGATGACCTGCAATTTTTGAAACTGGGTAACCTCTGCCTGTGAGCTTCTAGTCAGTTTTCATGTAGTTACGACTGCATTTTCAGCTGGTTTCCAGACTCCGGAGCACGAGTCTGCTGCCGTACAAGGGTCGTTCAAAACGCTGTTAGTCTCGCATGGTTTCGTCCTTCAAAAAATTTAGCCACCGTTTTTATTAGATGATCATCATGTTGTACTCATCCTCGCTGACACTTAACCATGTGTCATTTCCGACCTAACCATTTCCATTACTCATGAAGCAGAGAGTTTCTCAGCCGACCCGATTTTGCGACCTCCATTTTCATGTCTGATCCATGATCAGAGGTGAACCCCTTTTGTGAGCTCATGAAGGGTCGAATGCGCTTGAAAACAATGAAACTGCTTGATGAAGGTTGATACCAATGCCCATGCAAAATTTTGACTGTTAATTTCTTGTTAATTCAGAATTATTGACAAAAAAGCATGGCTGGTAGGTACCTGTCAACGAACTTTTGAGACACCCTGTAGTAAGGACATGCTAGTGAAGAGCGTCAGTGCTATATAAGCTAGAAGTTGTTTTATATTTGTACCCGCAAAGAGCTCAGGCATCGCTCATTTCACACAATGCATAAGAAGGCACACATACCTAATACCAATAATTGTTGCATAATGATATTTGGTAACAAAACATTTTAAATCTAATGCAAGATCCAAAGCTAGGAATAACCCAAATTTGTGAAAAATAAAACTGCTACATGTAGGTATATTCCATGTAAATGTACGCTCTGTAACGCCCATCAACCCCGATAGCTTTTAACAATCGTTCAAACCACGTAGCTAGACACCTCGCCTATGACGCTATAAGAAACCAACACTGTTCGAGTAACAAATGTTAGGTGGGCAAAACGACGGAATTGACAATCAAAGGTGCAGAGTGTAAATCCATCACACCCAGAGCCCAGAGGGGGTAAAGGGGAGCATTACAACGGCTGAGTACCGCCTGGTTAACCACGAACCAGTTAACCACTAACCAGTCAGAGCTTTCTCGTGGGCCGAATCTTCATGGTCACCGTTTTCAGTGAGTAGTTGCCACCCCGCCAGCGGCTCCATACGATACCGTGCCCCTTCTGGGTGTGCTCGCCGGCAAGATATTTGCCATTCAAGCTGGATTGGTAGCATGTTTTATGCCACCAGGGGGCCTCAAAATATTCGGCACAGTTATCTGTACTATTCGAGTCGTTGTCTCTGTCCTTTGTACTAAATCGTTGTCCTGTGTGATACGTGAGCGAGTCTCCTGCGTTTCCGGTGTAGTTGACAACATTGAGCCGGTATCCGTTCGATTCGGAGGAGATACTAAAGTTCTGGTAGATCGCATGTCTCCACTCACTTTTAAAGTCCTCCAAGTCTATCCTCAGTTCGTATTGCCGATCGCTTGGTGATGTCATGGTCCACATGTTGTCGAGGCCCCACCAAACTTCTTTATCCAGCTCACCGAATCCCTCCTTGTAGGCGGCCCAGTCTAGGTTAAAGTCCTCCCTTGGCTCTATATCGGCCCGTCGCTGGATGACTGTCCACCGTCCGCCGTCCGTCTCCAGGTCGCAGTAGGCGGGCACCTCTCCGGCGGCCCCCAGGCCGGGCTGCAGCAGGTAGATGCCGCTCTGGGAGCCGGCCGGTAGGTCACTGCAGTCGCGGGCTACAGAGTCACTATCAGTAGAAGCATTCTGAGCGGCATCGAGACGGAGGGTGATCCCATCAATCCGCGCATCGTGACTGCCGGTCATGTTCTGAAGCGTCTCCAGACTGGAATTCAGCTCGGCAATCTGAGACGCATGTTCATCAATAGAAAATTCGTGAAGGTTGACCTGAGACGCTTGGCTGTCGAGCCGCGACTCATGCGAGTCGATTCTTGACTCATGCCGAGCTATCAACGAGTCCTGTTCCTGGAGTCGCGATGTCTGCTCATCGAGTCGGGACTCCACGGTTCCCAGCTGCGATGAAGTCACGTTCAGCAGCAGTTCCTGGTTGAGAGCTAGGGATTGCTGTCCTTGCACTTGAAGCTTCTGATCACTCAGACCTGTTTCAGCGTCTACCAGCCTTGAGGCTAGTTCGTCGAGTCGGGTGCTGCCAGTAGCGATTTCAGAATCTTGTTTACGCTCCCGTTCGATGACTCTGTCCACTCGGGAGTCAAGAACATCCAGTCTGGAATCCAGTGTATCCAGCCTGGAGTCCAGCGTGTCAAGTCTGGAGTCCACCGTGTCCAGTCTTGAGTCCGGCCTAGAGTCTAGCGTGTCCATTCTGGAGTCCAGCACGTCCAGTCTGGAATCCAGTATATCCAGTCTGGAGTCCAGCGTGTCGATGCGGCTGTCCAGTTTGATGGTCAGCGGCTGAATGGCAGCAGTGACGGCACGGTCAACAAGCTGCCACAGCTCATTCGGAGTGATGTGGAGTCCCGCTGTGACCTGCTGCTGCTGCTGCTGTTGCTGCTGCGGCTGCTGGACAGAACACTGCGCTGGCAGTGCTGCCGCCGTTAGGAGAGCCGCCACCACTGCTGGCAGCAGGGGCGACATGGCCGCGGCGACCCTCTGAGGACGGCAGGGAAGACACCGACCTACGGACGACTCTGAGCCTCAGCGGCAGGCTCGGCCCGGCGCTCAGTGGCTCAGGGGGACACACCGGGCACTGCACGAGCTTCAAACACCTCGCAGGCTGGCGGCGAACTGACACGGCGGCAGCGGCGAGGGCCAAGCTGAGCTCTGATGTTGACATGGCGCCTCTGACGGGTTCGATGTTTATAAATTTGAGACGGCCTAGCCCGCACCCCGCCGATAACTGGAGCAAGTGAGCTCGGGTCCTTTTCTGTATCAGTAGTGGATGGGGCAAGACGAAGGAGAAAATCCATAAATTACGAGTCCAATATTACCAGCGAAGGCCTCAATCTCTTGAGGCATCTCCGTACGTACATAAAAGCCCATCGAAACAAACGCGATACCTACTAAACGTAGACTGTTCCCTACCATAAAATCTGTGTTTCGTGACGTCATAAAATTTTGAATAACTCCCACAATTTTGAACCGATTCTTCTAAAAATTGGTATGTAGGTGCACATAGACCACTTCTCTTACATATATCCCGTTTTTTTCGATTCACTCAAAATTTTGGATTTTATAATTGTTTTCCCAAAAAGTTTTATTTGAAAAAAAAATTGAGCCAAAATCTAAAATTTCCAAAAAAAACAGAGATAGCCATTTGATAGACAAAGTAGAATCACGTCTTGATGCCTTTAAAAATGAAGATGTTAGCGGCGTTTGAAGTTTTGCCGTTTTTTTAGGCGAAAATGGCGTGACATGACATCACTTAACCCTCGCCCATGTAGGGGGGGGGGGTTGGTGCAACCCCCCCCTGAGGTTTTTCGGAAATAGTGCAAAAACGGCGGCGCGCAGCGCCGCCAAATTTTGGGTACCTTATGGGGCAAACCTTGCGCATCTTTTGATAAAAAATTTGACCGGGTCATGTCAGGTCACGGAGTTATGACGTCACAAAGGGAACAGCCTCCGGCCGGATTTTCACAAACTGAGTGCCAACGCCCGAGGTTTCCTGCCGGTGGTACGGACATCGGTTGATGGATCGTGATGAAACTTCCCATGCATGTTGGGGCAAGTATTGGCTATCATATGGTATAAGAAACTTGACCGGGTCAGGTCAGGTCACGGAGCTATGACGTCACAAGAGGAACAGCGTCTGGTACTATTTTTGAAAAGCGCCCGAACCACTATTTTGCTAATTCTTGTCACCTCAATGGGAATATGCAGCAATATTAGCTTCTATAGGGAGCAAATGGACCTTCCAAATCCAAAAACACAATCAGATTTCAAAAATTTAAATTTTAATTTTTCGAATTTCTGCCGCCGACTGTGACCTTGCCGACTTCCGGCGCTCCCAACGCGCCATTTTTAGAGCTAGGGAAACGAAATACATACCAAACGATAGAGAATTGATCAAGGAACACGATAGTGAAGGTTTCAAGTCGATATCTCCCACCGGTTTGCCGCAATCGCCGCGGAAAGTTGAAAAAAGTCTATTTTTCCGAAAATTTGACCTTTGACCGGTCAAAAGTAGGTCAAATGTTGACCTAGGACCAAAAAATATACCACCAATCGCGAGATCTCGGCGAGAGCAATCCGTTGGTCTTTTCCGCTAAGCTCTACGACGCTCCGTTTTCAAACGCCAAGGGGGGGGGTCGCACCAACCCCCCCCCCCCCTGCATGGGCGAAGGTGGCAGATCGCCGTTTACGGGCGAGGGTTAAGTCATTTTCTCAAAAACTTCCGACGGATTTCGCTCAAATTTTCAGCGAACGTGTCAAATTGATGTATGATAAGGCACAGAAAGTTTGACGTTGCTGGCGTAACCCGTTTAGAAGTTATTGGCGAAAAACGGCCCCTCCCCCCAGTGCGGCGCGGGTTACTAGTACCCGCCCGTATGTGCATTTCTACATCGTCTAGCGCAGGTGTCGGCAAATGGTGGGGCATGCCCCCTTTCGGGGTAATGGAGCCCTTTCGGGGGGGGGGGGGGGGTAATGAGGGATTCTGAGAAAGCCTGTCTTTTTAGAGTTTGTAGCTCCAGTGATGGAGCCATCGTGACTGTTGCATCCCAGGGTTCAAAGATTAGCCCAGGCCAAAGGCACAGCAGTCAGCACACATTGATTAGATACCAATTTTCACGTACCTGCTCGCCTCACCATCTCACCCCTCCGTACAGTCGTACAAAAGCAGCTGCAACTTTTGACCGTCGCCCGTCTGTTGGCGTTTCAACAGCCGCTAACGTAAGGGGGAGGAGTCGATCGGACCCCCGCGGCCTCTCGGACTCTGATATGGAGCTGTGCATAAACAAGACGAGCGTGCTACCCATGACAATAGGAAGCCGCTGCTGCCCATTTTTAAGGTCCTTGGTCATTCCGTCTCATTCAAGAGGGCAATGACAAGTGTCGAGAAAATCGGGACCCGCTATAACTCCTTGAAGTGAGAGTTTATGGCTCAAGATGATCTCCAGAAAAAGCTAATAAGCCAACGGTCATTATGGGTCCAGAGGCCAGTTTTACCAACAGAAAAATAGCCGCCTGCCGGAATTTTTGCCTAAAGATCGTTTCACATATGGAGCGTAAACGGTACAGCCCTATCCGCTTACGAGCCCATCGCGTTTACGCTCCGTATGTGAAGCGGTCTTGAGGCAAAAATTCCGGCAGGCGGTTATTTTTCTGTTGGTAAAACTGGTCTCAGGTCATGATATTTTCCGGGCTGGTAAAAAAATATGATGGGCTCGAGGGTACAATTTGGTCGTGATCCAATGCCTTTTACGTGAGCTTTTAACGAAAAACCACCCGCCGCCCCTATACGTACAAGGGTTAAATGGGATATAGCATAGGCGGCGGAACGGGGAGGGCACCGGGGCACCGTGCACCCTTTGATTTTTGCATTTTAACATTAGCCCTATGGGCGTTGCATGGAAAGAATGGGACCAAAAGTCAGCAGTGCCCCCCCCCCCCCTCCCCTCCCCCTTATTGAAGGTGTTCCGCCGCTACTGGGATATAGGCATTAAATGTTTTGTGGAGGAAGTGTCATGTTTTAAACTTGATGCATTGGAAATATACAAATACCCAAAGAGTTCCAGGACGGTATGGAATTTCAGTAAACTTGGTTGTGTCAGCAATGGGGTCTGGTAGGTGGGGGTAATGGCCTGGCGCCCAAAAAGGGGGCACGACCCCGAATGACCTGCCGACCACTGTAGCGCATAGGGGGACCCTCTCAATATTTTCTGCAGTAGGGATAATAATTGCCCACAATCGCAATGGTACTGCGACGCTATACTACATGTATATCAACGATTGCATTTTTTATTTAAACACAATTGCGAGGCAAATTTATAAAATAAATATTTCCCATATAAAATGAAAGCACAAAAAAGAGCTGCCACTCATCTCATTCACTCATTGTCAGCTAGGACCTCAAGCCAGCGCACTCCCTCGTCGGTGATGACAAAGCGGCGCTTCCACAGGCTCGGCGGTGGCGGCGCAGCGACCTCCGTGCGGGCGACCATCCGCAGGGTGGCCTCCACGGCGCCCTGTTGCGGCCGCAGGCAGACGGAGCGTGTCACGGCCGCCGACCACTCGGCGCCCATGTGGTGCCAGCCGGTGGCGCCGGCCGACAGCGAGTGACGCGTGGCGACCACCACCAGCCGCCCGCGGCCGGCCAGTCGCACCAGCTGCTGGCCCAGCTGTCGGTACCACGCGTCGGCGCGCTCCCCCACCCGGCCCAGCGCGTGGCGGTCACTCCAGTAGAAGGCCGAGAGCGAGTCGACGGCGAGCAGCAGGACTCCAGCGTGCTCCTCTAGCCTGGCGAGCAGCGCCTCGAGCGCCACGCGCGCCTGCTGACTGCTGGTGGCCGTCAGCAGTTCCAGCCGCGAGGCGGCGCTGCGAGCGGCTGCTGCTGAAGGTAGGTGGCGCTGTAGTAGCTGCAGCAAGCGGGGCATCCTCACGTGCCGGTCCGTGTCCAGCAGCACGACGGCCGAGGTGCTGTCGCAGCTCAACGCGGCGGCCACGCACTCCATCAGCAGCTGGGTCTTACCGGAGCCGCCTGACGGGATCGCATGGACGGGCGGTCAGCCGACGTCGCCTCCACAGCTGCAGCGCTGAAACGACAACTACACCAGCGGAAAGCGTATTCGGGCGCCGAGGCATGAAAAGCGACAAGCGTCGATCAGAACTGGAAGCCGTAATCTACTGACAAATCTATCGCGTGAAACGGCGATTCTCTATAAATTGTAACAGCAAATCGCCGACTAAAATTTCCAAAGCTCATCAAACGTTCGCCTACGGATCTACTGATTGCAGCGGGCAGTTACTAGCTGATGTAGGTACAGGGCGGCTGCGGCCAGCCCACCTACCCGGTCCACTGATCTCCACAATGTCCCCAGGCACCGGGTGGTGGGGGCACAGCTCGGTCAGCACGGAGCCAAGGTCGGGCCGCGGGGCCAGGCGAGCCAGCAGCTGTCGGCCCGACTCCCCGCACGGAGAGCTGTCGCACGCCAGCATTGCCACCTGGCGACACGCGCGGCTGGTCATGCCACAGATCGACACAGAGTGGGACGTCAGTGACCTCCGTGCCTCACCCTGTCACCCATCCACCCACGCAGGGTGGAGTCTCAGTCAGCCGGTGTCAATTTACCACACTGAGGTATCATTGACCTTCGGTGCAGTGCTGATTTACCTACTGGTGTGTTATGCCAATGCAATGTCAAAGTTGTATCAAATGCTGAAGGCACTTAGCAATGCTATAATGTTCAATTGATGAACTAATATTGATATGAGAATACAAGAGTGGGCTGACCACTGTCAGCCCACTCTTGTCAGCCACTGATCAATCAGCCTTTACAACACAAGTGTGGCATTAATAAATGTTGGCATTAAAGGGACCCTCCCACCTTAACATTAGTTTTGAGTTGAGATAGCCAAATTGGTGGCCATGGCCTGCAAATACCGGTTTGGGCACTCACAACATCGAAAAATGCTTTAATTCGAACATATGGAATTTCAAACTTGCAGTTTTCGGATTCTAAGGGGCTAATGCATTGGAATGCCCCCTTAGAATTTGTGACGTCAGCGGAGATCTAACGATTTTTAAATCTTAGACTAAAACCATCGTTAACACGTGGTGGTATACGCTGCTTTGCGCGCAACGTCTGCCGCACTTTAGGGCTGCCAAATTATTGCTTCCAAATAAAGTCGCTAGTAACAGGAGAGCTCCCAAAAAAGTAAACAAAAGTAAAAGTCTAATATTTTGAAAACCAGTGAATATTTTTCGGTGAAATTTGTTAGATATTCGTTTTCGCTCTTTCTGAACCAAGGGACATCACTTTCATGCCAATTCATTAACTTTTTTGAAGGTGGGAGGGTCCCTTTAATGTTGGCATTAATAAATTTGTAGGTCAAGGTATAAGTCTTGTTTGCTTCAATGGTGCAGTTCTTCAGTCTCAGTCTGGTTAGTGCCAACGTATATAGGGTTAGTGCCGAGTGCAGCAGGCTCGAGGGGATTCTCAAGACCTACCTATCCAGTATCCCAATCCACCTTTCAGAATCAACTCAAACTCAACAACAACAAACAGCAAAGATAAGATGGCTGCTGAAAAGTCTTTTCTATCGGTATTTCAATTTGAGTTCTTTTAAGCTTTTGAAAACAAGTTGCTAGGCAACTAGCGTCTAGTTCCGCAATCGCCTAGCAATTTGCTGCTGTCACCTAGCGGCTGTTTTCGAACCTCTCATATTGAACACCATCGGCTGCGTTTTGCAGCGTGGAGGATGCACGCGGAGGGGGGGGGGGGGGGGGTTTACCTCCCGACGCTTCTCGGGGACGACACAACATTGACAAACCTGGTACTTGATTTCGTCCTAACATCACCCTACTCAGAGCTACTTTAACGGCCTTGACTGTTAACAGGCGCCCGTTTCGCTACCACCAGGCTGACTTGTGATACGGGATGGGTCGGGTTTTTCGCTGGTGCCGAAACACAGAGCTTCGGTGGCAGACGGGTTTTCTCCTGCCGCTGGAGCAGGCTTAGAGGCTCAGCGGCCCAGCGAGCTACACCAGCGGACCCCGGCCGCTGAACAGCGGCGGCGGCCGGGTTGAACGACCACAGACAACCGTCGGCCGCCAACTGCAGCAGCGACAGATTCCCCATCCTCCAAACCATTCCTTTCATCGTGACGCTTAAACATTCACAAACCCCATCCCTCCCAGCGACATATCCCCCACTCTTCAAACCATTCCTGTCATCAAACTCTCGTAACCTTACCATTCACAAACTTCCTCCTTCCCTCCCTTCACAAACATCAATTTACCGGTAAGTTTCACTGTCATTTATGTGTCTTAACGTAAATTCATGGGTTTTTTCCCATATTCATGGCATAGTACATGGATATGGGTTTTCCCATGTTGTCTTGCTGTAAAAGTGGCCACCGGTCTTAGTTAGGACGGCCGGTTTGTTTTGCGCGGCGTAGTTAGGTCGCCGCCCTCCTCGCGAGGCCGGTAACGTAAGTTAGGGCCACTAAAAAAAAAAAAAAAAAAAAAGCACGCGGAGGGATGTAACGGAAGTTAGCCCACATTCAGCCCACATTCGGCCCAGCCCAGATTGGGGCTACCAAATCTAGGGAAAAATCTAGAAATCTAGGGAAAAATCTAAAAACCGTTTTACGCCTAAACGGCTGGACGAAACTGAAAAATAAGACCACCATTTGAAAGATCTCTTCACCCCGGACCCAATGATATGGTTAAATACCGAATCAATTTAACCAAAAGCATGATTTAACCAGGATGAAAATTTTCGGTCAATGGGGCGGCCCCTACGATTTTCTTCAAAATCGGCATGGTGATACTACAGGCCCAGATGATAAATCTGGCTGAAGAAACCCCTATGGGCATTGAAATCTATGGGGTAAAAACGCCTTTGGAAAGATTTACCCACGCATTTCTGGCAAGACTATCGCACGAATCCCCCCAATATGGGTATCATATGAAAGCCCATGAAAACCCAAACAAAATGGTGGGTTAAAATTTACCCATTACCCCATCCAGGGTAAAGTTTACCCAAGATGAAAATTTTTGGTCAATGAGGCGGCCCCTACGATTTTCTTCAAAATCGGCATGGTGATACTACAGGCCCAGATGACCAATCTGGCTGAAGAAACCCCTATGGGCATTGAAATATATGGGGTAAAAACGCCCTTGGAAAGTTTTACCCACGCATTTCTGGCAAGACTATCGCACGCATCCCCCAATATTGGTATCATATGAAAGCCCATGAAAACCCAAACAAAATGGTGGGGTAAAATTTACCCATTACCCCATCCAGGGTAAAGTTTACCCAAGATGAAAATTTTCGGTCAATGGGGCGGCCCCTACGATTTTCTTCAAAATCGGCATGGTGATACTACAGGCCCAGATGACCAATCTGGCTGAAGAGACCCCTATGGGCACTGAAATCTATGGGGTAAAAACGCCCTTGGAAAGTTTTACCCACGCATTTCTGGCAAGACTATCGCACGCATCCCCCCAATATGGGTATCATATGAAAGCCCATGAAAACCCAAACAAAATGGTGGGGTAAAATTTACCCATTACCCCATTTAGGGTAAAGTGTACCCAAGGTGAAAATTTTCGGACAATGGGGCGGCCCCTACGATTTTCTTCAAAATCGGCATGGTGATACTACAGGCCCAGATGACCAATCTGGCTGAAGAAACCCCTATGGGCATTGAAATCTATGGGGTAAAAACGCCCTTGGAAAGTTTTACCCACTCATTTCTGGCAAGACTATCGCACGCATCCCCCCAATATGGGTATCATATGAAAGCCCATGAAAACCTTAACAAAATGGTGGGGTAAAATTTACCCATTACCCCATTCAGGGTAAAGTTTACCCAAGATGAAAATTTTCGGTCAATGGGGCGGCCCCTACGATTTTCTTCAAAATCGGCATGGTGATACTACAGGCCCAGATGACCAATCTGGCTGAAGAAACCCCTATGGGCATTGAAATCTATGGGGTAAAAACGCCCTTGGAAAGTTTTACCCACGCATTTCTGGCAAGACTATCACACGCATCCCCCCCAATATGGGTATCATATGAAAGCCCATGAAAACCCAAACAAAATGGTGGGGTAAAATTTACCCATTACCCCATTCAGGGTAAAGTTTACCCAAGATGAAAATTTTCGGTCAATGGGGCGGCCCCTACGATTTTCTTCAAAATCGGCATGGTGATACTACAGGCCCAGATGATAAATCTGGCTGAAGAAACCCCTATGGGCATTGAAATCTATGGGGTAAAAACGCCCTTGGAAAGATTTACCCACGCATTTCTGGCAAGACTATCGCACGAATCCCCCCAATATGGGTATCATATGAAAGCCCATGAAAACCCAAACAAAATGGTGGGTTAAAATTTACCCATTACCCCATCCAGGGTAAAGTTTACCCAAGATGAAAATTTTTGGTCAATGAGGCGGCCCCTACGATTTTCTTCAAAATCGGCATGGTGATACTACAGGCCCAGATGACCAATCTGGCTGAAGAAACCCCTATGGGCATTGAAATCTATGGGGTAAAAACGCCCTTGGAAAGTTTTACCCACGCATTTCTGGCAAGACTATCGCACGCATCCCCCAATATTGGTATCATATGAAAGCCCATGAAAACCCAAACAAAATGGTGGGGTAAAATTTACCCATTACCCCATCCAGGGTAAAGTTTACCCAAGATGAAAATTTTCGGTCAATGGGGCGGCCCCTACGATTTTCTTCAAAATCGGCATGGTGATACTACAGGCCCAGATGACCAATCTGGCTGAAGAAACCCCTATGGGCATTGAAATCTATGGGGTAAAAACGCCCTTGGAAAGTTTTACCCACGCATTTCTGGCAAGACTATCGCATGCATCCCCCCAATATGGGTATCATATGAAAGCCCATGAAAACCCAAACAAAATGGTGGGGTAAAATTTACCCATTACCCCATTTAGGGTAAAGTTTACCCAAGGTGAAAATTTTCGGTCAATGGGGCGGCCCCTACGATTTTCTTCAAAATCGGCATGGTGATACTACAGGCCCAGATGACCAATCTGGCTGAAGAAACCCATATGGGCATTGAAATCTATGGGGTAAAAACGCCCTTGGAAAGTTTTACCCACTCATTTCTGGCAAGACTATCGCACGCATCCCCCCAATATGGGTATCATATGAAAGCCCATGAAAACCCAAACAAAATGGTGGGGTAAAATTTACCCATTACCCCATTCAGGGTAAAGTTTACCCAAGATGAAAATTTTCGGTCAATGGGGCGGCCCCTACGATTTTCTTCAAAATCGGCATGGTGATACTACAGGCCCAGATGACCAATCTGGCTGAAGAAACCCCTATGGGCATTGAAATCTATGGGGTAAAAACGCCCTTGGAAAGTTTTACCCACGCATTTCTGGCAAGACTATCACACGCATCCCCCCAATATGGGTATCATATGAAAGCCCATGAAAACCCAAACAAAATGGTGGGGTAAAATTTACCCATTACCCCATCCAGGGTAAAGTTTACCCAAGATGAAAATGTTCGGTCAATAGGGCGGCCCCTACGATTTTCTTCAAAATCGGCATGGTGATACTACACGCCCAGATGACCAATCTGGCTGAAGAAACCCCTATGGCCATTGAAATCTATGGGGTAAAAACGCCCTTGGAAAGTTTTACCCACGCATTTCTGGCAAGACTATCGCACGAATCCCCCCAATATGGGTATCATGTGAAAGCCCATGAAAACCCAAACAAAATAGTGGGTTAAAATTT